AGGTACTTCCATTTGAAATACAAGTTATATTGCGTTAAAAAGTTTTAGATTGAAGTGAACACTCTGTACAATGTATTGATATTTTGGTTCAATAGAATTCTTAACGGATCTGTGGTGATTGGAAAGACGTATTTTTGTATCTCTAACTGCTTTTATTTGCCTCTACAATTAATTTTTAGATACCATATTTTTAAGCAAAATTTTACTAAAAAAGCGATAATCTGCCAATGTCGCAAGTAAGAAAAAAACAACTTACGGTGYATATGCAGCGTTTTAAGTTGCATTCCATGAGCTAATGAAAAATTGGTAGTTCTATTTAAAAAAATACACTTTAATCTTGCCTCGCTTTTCTGAGAMACTCTGTATCATATACGATATTTTTAAAATGTGCGCACTTTGTGCGTCAACAACTTTTATGTGAAATTATTTTTGAAAAGTTCAACACCATCGGAAATAATGGACTCCAGCGTACTAAAAAACCACCCTGTATGTAAATAGTTTTTAAAAATAGTTTAAACACGTTTAATTAACCTAATTTTCAAGCAATGTAAGCCTAGAGCCTGTGTTTTAAATTTTTCGACGAAAATTCGAAAATTAGTCGACATTCTTTGTTTCAGTCAAAACCATTTTAAATTATTGTGAATGTGAATCTGAATCTGAATGTGGTTTTCAACCTACTCAAATAAGTCTATTACTTCTAAGTATGTAATGTTCAAGTTTAGAATATATTTAGAACTTTGAAGAAGCAGCAAGCAAAATTAATTTCAAACAATTAAACCAGCTAAGTTCGGTTCACAAATTAGCAGCATGAATAATGAAAAGCGAAAAAATGAGTAAACAACACAATAAATAATCACATTTCAGTAAAGCATAATATTTACCAGAATTTAATCCTCGGCCTTGACAGTGGCCTTCTGCATTAAAAAGGGAAGCAAATGATTAGACTAGCAATCAAGGGGTAAGACAAAATAATGCATTAAACACATTCAATCACACTAATTAGAGCGCGTTACTCAAGGTACCTATTGCAAAATCAATACCTCGACGTTTTTTTACGTTTCAATCTTGTATTAACTTGGAATCGTACGCAAACGTATCTACAATGATGAAACAAACGAGTGCATCTCCTATAGATTTTCGAATATGCATTTTCTTTTCGTGTGTGGTCAATGGTAACCACAAACATTGAAGAATCCCAATAATTTTTTTGCTTTCTAATATTTTCAGCCAAATTTTCTACACGTTTCGAATTAAAATTTAATGATGTTTTGTAAATTGTGGCCTATTTTTAAGTTGCTAAAAGTGTACACGCATTGCAATGTCTTCATCACGAATAAGTGAGTATGAGTATCATCAAGTGATATACCTGGTCCGTCTTTGGGAGCTTACACTAAAAGTATCTGCCAAACCAAAATTACCCCAGTTCTGAAAATTTAACTGCAAGGTAATGATGTTGGAGCTAAATCATCTAAAATATTTGCAAGTCGCTTCTGATAAATAGAACACCCCGTATATTATTAAATTTTTGGATTCTCTGTCGGATTTTTAGGTCCACATGTTAAATGAACTGGGTACGAAATTTGAACCGTTGTGAAATAATAACCATTTTTCCACAAAAATTGACAGGAAAAAAATATATTTTTTTAAAACATTTAATTTTATACCAATATGAAGGAGGGAGTTGGCATTAAGACTGAATGAACTGGAAGACATCTTCAAGAATCTATCCTGGGAGAAGAAGGGCATTAATATCGACGGCACCTATCTAAACCACCTGAGATTCGCGGACGACATCGTATTGATAAGCAGCGACCCAGAGGAACTGAAGGATATGCTGGAGCAACTTCACAAAGTATCAGCGGGGATTGGTTCGAGGATGAACCTTCAAAAGACCGATCTTGAACCCGGACGCTCCCCAGATTTCGGTGGAAAATCATATCCTACACCCTTTAGAACCCTACACCTACCTTCGTCACAGTAACAAACTGGGCGAAGAAAACCAGACCACCGAAATAACAAGGATAGGACTAACATGGGCAGCGTTTGGGAAACTCGGTTTTGTCCTCAAAAACTCAGCAATGCCCATTAATCTGAAACGAAGAGTATACGAATCCTGCGTACTCGCGGTAACAACGTATGGCCTGGAAACCACCGCACTCACGCAAAAAAGTGCCAGTAGGCTAAGGACAACCCAAAGAGCCATGGAGAGGGCAATGCTGGGGATCAGTCTCAGAGACAGAGTGCGCAACGTGGAGATCCGAGGGCGCACTAAGATCACAGATGTAGTGGCGCGGATCGCTGGCCTGGAGTGGCGATGGGCAGGACACGTCGCAAGACAGGACGACACGAGGTGGCCAAAAATGATCGTCCACTGGAGACCTCGGACAACAAGTCGGAGTGGAGGAGGACCGCAACGGAGATGGCTGGATGACATCAGGAAGATTGGGGGGAGAAATACAAGTAGCGTCAAACAGAGCGACATGGAAAGATCTGGAAGAGGCCTACATCCAGGAGTGGATGGAAACGGGCTGAGATAGATAGACCAATATGAAACTGACTATCTTGTAGGTATATGTATAATTTTGTGTATGCCGGCAAATTGAAAACTAATATAAAAAAGCAATAAAAAATACTCACTTAAAGCTACAATTATGTTCCTGTTGTCTGACGCCTAACGGTTTGTTTTCTTGCGTTGGAGTACCTTGCGGAGTTAACCCCCCACTGTTCTTCTTTTTGAGGGCCGACTTCAAAGGCATAGCATTGAATCGTGGCTCTTTCGCGGGTATCTCGTCGATTCTACTAGTATCGATAGCGGGATCTGGTTGGGGCATTCGGTACATGTACGAATTTTCCTCGTCACATTCGACATCGTAATCGTCGTCGTCCTCATTATCTAAAAATTAACATTATTTATCAGAATTGCAACAACATGTTTATATAGCATATACAGGGTGATCAAAATTTAGAAGCAGAGCAACGTCTTGTACGTTCAAAAATATAATAAAAACTTCAAATGGCGAGGAAAATTATTTTTGGAACCTGGAACGTTCAGGTTATAATTATTATAATAATTCAGATGACAAAAGCAGAAGGCGTATTTAAGGGACTTTTAACGGTCTGTGTTTTCAAAATCAACTTTCGGAAAAGGCATCCTTGCGTCAATGGCCACCTTTTGACGTATAGTATCTGAAGTTTCCGGATTTACCATTCGTAATGAATCATCCTGTATAGCCATACTACGTTCTCATGTAATTTCCAGTGCGTCGTCCAGGTTCAATAGTAATAAAACTACGAAACGAAATTGTTTTTGCTTTACTACTATAAATCTGTTGTTTGTGCTCAATTTATTAATGACGTTTAATCTTTATTACTGTCCGCAGTCGAATATAGAATTTTGAAAGTCTTGTCTTTAAAATATCTATAAGTCGGAAACGTATCGCATGCAGGAAAAACATGGGTGCTTACCTTCGTAATCGTAATCAGCGGGATTAGGCAAAGGACTAGGCGGTCGTCTCAGCTGAGGGCTGGGCGAACTGAACATGGGAGGAGGAGGAATTGGTCCTATCTCTGAAACCGGAATAGGAGGCTCTGGCAACTCCGACAGGATGAATTGAGGATGTCCTGCGTTTGGAGGTGGCAGAGGCGGCTGAACGAGATGCAGTCCATGTGATTGCTTTTCTTGAGCTGGTGGTGTCGATCCGGGGGGGCCGATTTGTGGCCCATCAACTACGTCGTAGACATTTGATAGGTTAATAGTTCAGCAAAATTTAACAACAAAAAAATCTACACTAATGAGAAGAAGAAAGAAAATTCTCACATAAAAATCACATAAAAGAAATTCAAAACAAAAAATATGTGTGTATTGCGATATGAAACACAAAATGAACACATTCAAAAATATACGGAGTGTCAATTTGAAAATTTCCCACCCTTAATATCTTTCTTGCAGTTAAAAACATGAAAAATCGGAAAGACCCGTCAATTTTATTTGTAAGGGAGACACTTTAAATACGTGTTTTATGCTCTTTGCTTCATGTCACCATTGAAATCTTAAACGGAAAGGGGGTCAAATGGTATATCGTTTTAAAGGGCATCGTTCAATTATTTTTACATCGGTTACTACTTTGTTGCTTTTTGACCACAGGTTTCCGAATAATCGCGTTTCAAACTTGTAGAATAAATTAAACTTGTCTGCATTCAGAACTTGGTTTTCAGGTTTAAACCTGTACGGTAAAAAAATGTAGTTTAAACTAGGGCTCGGAATCAAACTCGAATAATTCGAGTATTCTAATATTCAAAAAGCGAATAATTATGTCTAGTCATAACTCGAATATTTGAATATTCGAATACTCGAATATACCAACGTTATCAAACTCACAAGGTGCAAATATCTTTATATGCACTTTGTATACTTTTATAAAATAAATTATTCATATTCTACAAGCATTTAAACAAATACCCATATATTTACAAACAAATGAAAATAATCATATTTACTCTCCTGCAAATGAATATAAAATTACGTCTCTGCGTTGTGGTGATTCGCGTCATCAACTTTTGCGCGGTGTTACAATTAATGTGCCGACAAGGCACTTTTTTATCTGTTGCGACTAATTGCCAAAAATGATATGAGATAACGATTTTTCTTCTTGGAAAACGGTGAACGGAAAACGAATACTCGAATACTCAAATATTCGGATACTCGATTATTCGAATATTCGTTAGATATTCAAGTATTCGAATAAATCACTAAACGAGTATACAAATTTCAGATTTTTAAAAATTTCGAGCCGTAGTTTAAACATTGATTTATTATTTTTTATTTCGATATTATTGATTATTTTACATCGCCAAAAAGAACTTTTTTATTGCGGAAGATAAATTTCTACAATAAAACGTATGGGACTTATTTAGGTAATATATTTGCCTGTGAACAATAATAAAGTCTGTTTTTGAACTCTTCCATAACGTTTCAGAAAACTTCACAGGGAATTGACCGGCATTCTGATACAATTCCACTTCTAATATCATCAACATCAGCAGGTTGTGTTTTATAAACAATGGCCGTAAGATGTCCCCAAAGAAAGAAGTCTAAGGGTGTTCAATCCGGTGATCTTGTAGGCCATTCAATTCGTCCCTTGCTGCCAATCGATCTATTCGGGAATATCTTATTAGGGAGAGTTCGAAAATAGACCTTATTATTGTTTACAAGAAAATAGCCAACATTTTGAACAACTTATATGATAATGCCTAAGTAGATCCCATGGGTTTAATTGTAGAAATTTCTCTTCCGTAAATAAAAAGTTATTATTTGATTTTATTCCTGTAATTCAACGATTTTAACGGGATAACCGAATATTCTAATCATTTCTACCATAAGGAGACCCCATGACATAATTTTTGTTAAAGTACTAATCTGAAAACCAAAATCTCAATTCAGGCAAGTTTAATTGTTTCTGTAACTTTGAAACGCGATTATTCGGAAACCTCCGAACAAAAGCAACAAAGTACTAATGTAAAGGGAATCGAACGCCTTTTAAAACGAGGTGCCACTTGACTCTCCTTCCCATTTAAAATTCTCAGGGTGCCATTTACACCTCCTAAGGGGTTGAAACAAGGAGGCTAAAACTATTATATTAAAGTGTCCCCCTCACAAATAAAATTGACGGGTCTTTCCGATTTTCTGTATTTTAAACTACAAGAAAGATTAAGGGTGGGAAGTTTTCAAATTGACACTCGGTATATAGATAAACAGGGTGATTCAAAACATAATACATTAATTTTAAAAGGGTTTACACTCGAAAAAGAGAACAGATATACGTAAGAGGCAGAAAAGTTTCTAAATTGAACAAGGAATTTGAAAACATAGGCGCCGCACCAAAGAAAAGTTTGGGGTAAAAAAAACGCAAAAAGAGCATTATCTCTAGATAGTAGATGATAATAAATTAGCTATTTTTCAAACTCGAATCGAATATGCGTATAAGTCTAGGAGCTGCTAGAAAAACCCGTTAGAAAGAACCAAAAAATTTAACGACTTTGACCGTGTTTTGAGGTTCTATGTTTAGACGAACGTTGCACTTATTATGGTACGTAGGTAAACGACGGTTCCAAAATTAACGCACTAAAATTTGAGTCACCCTGTTTCTAAGATAAGAAGTGCTTATGGGGACATCGGAAACAGTAAATCATACGAAGTTGGTAAAATAGAAAATCGTTCGGTAATTAAGAGATTAAAAACTTCGTTTTAATTAAATTAAATAACTATTCATGCGAACGACACAATTGCATGGAATGATACCCAAAATTAGAATAAGGATACCTTGATATTTGTAATTCAAACTACTTGATGCAACTTTGCAGGGCGTCGTTTTATTTAGTTATTTTGTTGAGTTGTTCTCTCCGGTCTGTATACAGGGTGGTTCTATCTTAAAACACTTAAAAATTTTGAAAACGAGTGATCCGAGGAAAAAACGTTTCACATAAGAAGTTAATATCTGGGAGGGAAAGTTAACTCGCGTCAGAAAAGCAACGCCTACTTCGAACTTGTAGGCTAGGCAGGGGCCAACTTGAGAATTTCAAATGGTAACCACAGCATTTTACTGGAGATTCGAGTAGTACGTCAAAAAGTAAGAATAATTGATCTAAAACATTTTCTTCGATTTTGACAGGTGGCGGGTGGTTTATTTTTATCTTGAAACGCTGAAATATTTCGGAAACGAGTGATCCGAGGAAAAAATGTTTCAAATAATAAGTGAATATGTTTTTTTATGCAAATAAGTCTTTAATTAAGTTTAATTGCCCAACTTCTCCCTATTAAACCAACTTCGTATAATTAACAGTTTCCAATACGCATCCATATTATGGTCCTTCTTATATTGGATACAGTGTATACGCACTTTAAAAATAAATTGGAAGTTCTTCCTAAAATTCACACTAAATTTTCAAAACGTAAAAGTTGAGCTTCATTTAGATTTAAAATGTTTTTATTAATGCAATATCTGAGTAACTTACAATGTTCACTGTGGTAACACAATAACCTTCGGGTAAGCTTCCCGTGACCCAAAGTGCTTGGCCGTTCTGGTTTACGACTATCCTCCCCTGATTGATTAGTGGGTTGAGCGACGTGAAGCGGCCTTTCCCCATTAGGGGACATGGCGCCGTTCTGAGCATTGTTTCCATCAGTCTTATCTTTTTTGGGCTCTGAAATAGTAAAAAAATACATTTTAAAGCATGTTTCAAATACGATATCGGCTAAGATTTCAAATGTTTCCTTCACTATAAATATGGATACAGAAAATGCTCAACTTCCTATTCTTTATTAAATTTTATTATTCTTCGGCTTTTTCTAATCTATGGGTTCATGTAGGAAATTCATTGGATACTTTTTTCTACTCTTTTTAAACTGAATCTTGATGTGTTGTTCTAATTGAAGTAAATTTCAACAAAATATTTTAAGCAACTTCGGAAATTGCAGGAACCACGGCGGGACGGTAACACTGGAAGGCGGGCCAAGAACGCGAGTGGCAACACTGGGGCTACTTCACAGTTGGGACATTAGATGGCGCGATGGTACTTCCGGACAATCGCTGGGCGCTGGCTGCGCATCATTCGCGCTTTTTCAAAAAAACTTGACAAAGAGCTATATGTTGCGATTCATTTCCATTACCTCAGAAAAAAAAGCTGCCCCAGAAGAGTGCACAATAACATAATTAATTACACGGGCACAAACTTATTTGGAGTTAAACCCAGAATTGTTTACCTCTTCTTGAGGTTATAACGACAAAAAAAGAACAATTTCTCGTTGACAATATTGACATTTCGAAAAAGTGAAATTCCTATATTCACCAAACCCTGTTGAATTTGACGTTCATACCCTAACCTATTTCAACCTCACTGTCTGTGGTTTTCTATGGTAATTTGACCTTTTGACATTTAAGAAGAACCAGAAATGTTAATAAGACAGATTACTTTGAAAAACGTTGTTGCCGATCTTCTCAATTAGTTTTTTGCAAATATTCCTCAGAGGAATGACGCCAATTTTGAAAAATAAGAAATAATAATTATTCAGCTATCCTTCAGATCACATTATAGCGGCAGATTATCCTGACGTTCCTATTTTTATATTGTTTTCTTTCGATTAATGAACTATAAAGAATGTCGCATTATTTAGTACCATTTTTGCTAAATACATTTTAAGAGAAGACTATACACTAGAAGTGTCCTTTTCAATCCTTTTTGGAGTCCATCTATGTCGATTATAGTAGTATAGATTATATCAGTTCATTGTGACATTGTCCGTGCACGTGTTCACTTATGGACAAAATTAAATAGTGATAGATTTCACTTTCTTTGTTTGGGTTGATCGGTCAATAGATAGTGGCAGAAAAAAACGAGTATTTTTCTTGGGCCAATGTGGCGGTTTTATTAAGCCATCATCGGGGCTTTAATTAAGCCAACATCGGGCCTCTTAAGCCAGCATCTTGCGCTTGATGACCTATTGGCTAACGTCGGAACACAGCATAATGTGCAAATACGGACCCACAGCAATATCCTTCCAAAGACAAGAACCAAAGTATATCGACAAATTCAATATCGAATCTCTGAAACAAAAACGTATGGATGTTATGGATCAGAAAAGGCTTGCTGAAAAAATCATCAAAAATCCAGTCTCCAACGAAGATGATGTGGACGCCCGCAGCCAGTTGGTCTACTAAGAATCAATAGCAACGGTAGAAAAATAAAAAAAATGAACTGGCAAATGAAAAACTACACTACAAAGGAGAAGCAGAAACAGACAGCAACTGGAACGGAGTCGGAATGCTAATTCATAAGAAATGGACAGATCACATAATATCCACAATAGAAATATCATCCAGGGTCATATACGTAACAATACAAATAACCACAAAAATTCCGTCGGTATTATCCGAGTAAGAAATCATATAAGGACAATGCAAATCTGGAGGTTCGCTCACCTCAGGCACACCCAGGACCGATGTGAATGGGAGGTAATAGGTGTTTAAGTAGTAATAGGCTCGAAACCGGTCCTGGTTGTGCCTCAGGTGAGCGAACCTCCAGATTTGCATTGCCCTTATATATTACAAATAACGAAAATATATAGATTTAAAATGATACAAGTATATGCCCCGATTTAAACACACACAGAAGACGATATCGAGTAATTTTACGAAGATCTGGATAAAGCATTTAAACAAAACACGACCTTATATACTGCAATATTAGAAGGCTTTAGCTCAAAGGTAGGTACAAAGGTAAGAATTCGGTGAAACGTGCATAGGAAGATTTGAAATAGAAACTCGTAACAGCGGAAGCAAAGTCATAGTAAACTACATGGAAAAACAGCAAGTAAAAATAATGAATACTTTCCTCTATAAGAAACCGAGCCGTAAATGGACGTGGAAGAGCCGCGACAAAATAACAAAAAATTAAATAGCCTTTATAATTACGAACAGAAAATACATAGTCACAGACGTAACTGTACTGAATAAGGCACAAACTAACGACCATCAAATGGCTAATGGGAAAAATTAGAAAGAAGAAAAGTACAATTAATAAAAACAAATATATAAAGCTCAGTGAACTAAGAGAAGACGAAGAAACTTACAGACAAGAACAACTTTGATACATGCCTAGAAAATGATCTTATGATTCAAGGAACAGATATAATTATATGGCCACTTATGCCGACTATTCTTATAAAATAAGACGTAGTATCCACAGCAGAAACCAGAATTCAGCTTAAAGATAGTCAGTCTACGGTTAGGTTCGGTCACAATTAAAATCCATATTCCAAATACTATTAATTTAAAATAAAGTAGTTTTAAAAACGAAAGTTTTAAATTAATCAATAAAATTATAGTGATACACTAAACCATTACATAACAGATAAACTGGTAAGCACTGCAAAGAAAATACTTAAAGTTGCACCAAAGAAACAAGCACTGAGTGAGATAACAGAAGAAACTAATACGGAGGAGAAATAGCAGACGAAGATATGAAAGTAATAAACAAATAAATCAGAAGGGGAGTAAGAAACAAAAGAATGGTGAAAGAAATAATTGAAAAAACAAAGGCCCCAAAATATTTAGGAAAAAAAATAAGCGAAGGAAGAAGAGAAAAGACAAATAATACAGGAAACAGGACAGTATAAGAGCAATAGAAGGATTCTACCGGAACTTGTACGCATCTAAAACACCAGAAGTATCAGACATACAAAAGAGCCCTAGAGGAAGACGTACGCTAACAAGATACCACACCGAAGACATCCCACTGATCTGCAAATACAAAATTAAAGCAGCAATGAAGAAAAATGAAGAACAATAAAACCGCAGGGATGGATGAAATAGATATGATCAAAATGGGCGGAAAAAACTTCTTTACTACTTTACTTACAAATACTTTTCAATCAATGTCTGGAACTTGGAAAAATACCTAAAGAATGGAAAACTTCCAAAGCAATAAATAAACTTCTGACAAAAATACTAAGCAATCGACTCTCTAATAAATAAGAAGCATACCAAACACCCGAACAGGGTGGGTTCAGACAGGGATTCAGCATAATCGAGTGTAATGACACAATGAGTGTAATCGACCGCTATACATGCTATTCAGAGATTTTGAGAAAGCTTTTAATACAGTCGAGCAACAATATATGCGATCAAGAGATATCGAATCCACCATACGCTCCAATACTAGAAAACAAATATTGTCATACACACAATTGCAGACAATTAGACTTGGAAGATGCATTCAACACACAAATATTTACTATAAAACTACCACAGTATCTAAAGACAAGAGTATTAAATTTTGCGTGCAACCATAAAGAAAACAACAATGGATGTCAAAATTTAAACAATGTCAAAAAAAATTGAAAGAGCTATGCTTGTTGTGATACCACAAGACTGAATAAGATAGTAACATATAAGACAGAAAACAAAGGTGGATGACGAAGCAAGACGCATAGCCAACTTGAAGTGGCGATAGGCCGGGCAGATAACAAGAATCCAGGACAACAGATGAACAAAGAAAGAAGACAGGGTAAAAGAAAAAGAGGCAGATGGAAAGACCGCATAATGTGGAACCAACTTATGAAGGCTTATATGGAACAATGAAGAGAATAGCTGTTGCTAGATGATGATGAAAAGAAAAAAATAACGCTTACAAAAAGTACATAAACATCACAACTCGAATTCTAGGAGAATGTATAACCGAATAACCCAATATATCATCAAGGACGAGACATCAAACTATAGGGAAATAACGGTGTTGAACCCAATGGCTAAACTGCTAACGAAAATACTAACGCAGAAACTATATGTTGACCGATGAACCCAAGGAGACAGTAACATCTATCACTAATTACCTTCACGGTCACCAAGAAACGTCTACATAATCTAGTAGATTTATTTAATTTCTTCGTCTATCCAGCTCTAATTGGTCAAGTTTAAATGAAAAATACTGTTTGTCATGTTACTATAGTACGCTGACCATGATTCATAAAGTTATTTTTGAATTAAATAAACGCATGTGGAGTCAATGAATGAATTGAACTGAACAGCCATAAATAAACCACTCTTAGTGTCATTATTTAATTTAGCGACGATTCGTGGAAAATATAGCTAAATCGTCTGGGTCCATTGTGATTAAGTGAGAAGCTCTTAAAAGAACATTTACTTTAAATTTTCTGATGAGTTTTCCACAATAATAATTTAATTAGACGGAAAATATAAAACTTCATTATTTGCTTACTGAATTTTGCGAATGAAAATCTAAGGCTTTTAGTGTTATTCACTTCTAATTAATGAAAACTTATGCCATTACGATTAAGTAGATAATGTACGTAAAATTATGGAACAACGTTAATATTGAGGTAAATATTCATTTCAAACTTAATCCAAATATACGTTCAAATGTATGAAACTCTCTCTTTGCTGATATAGAAAGCAGGATATGGAGGGTTGAGCCATTGTCAATCTGTTGTTGGTGAACATTTTGAGTATTCACTGATGAGACCTTCTTCTTAATCTATTTTTCCTTACAAAATTTAGTCCTTTACTTTTACTATTATTTTAGTATTAGAGTAAACTTTATTGACATTTCTTATTAAAATGTAATTGACTAAAATATTTATAATGGTCTAAACTAAGGTCATGATTTTTGAACAGCCTGTATGTAGT